AAAAAGTCTAATTTAATTATCGAACTACAAATATTCAGATAAAAAATAAACAAAGATTTAGAAAATATAACTTAATTTACAATAGAAATGATAATATAATAAATATAGCAAGTATATATAAATATTATTATTATCTATTTTTTTACTTATAAAAAATTATATAGATACAAATATAGAAGAATAATTTAAAATAACACACATTTTTAAAATAAGAAGGATAAAATTATATATAATAAAAAGAAGTAATATATTATATATATATATATATATATATATAAATATATATATATATATATAAAGTATATATATATATATAAATTTATATATTTTTATATTATTATTAATATTTATAAATATAAAATTTTATATTTAGAATAATAATGACTTTATCTTAGAAAAAAATATTTAGAAAATTAAAAAACTAATAAAAAAATTTTTTGAGAAGACAAAAAAGAAGAATTAAAAAATATTAATTTACATAATTTTAATGGAAAAGCTTAAATTTAGTTATTAGAATAAAATATAAATACTTAAAAATAAAAACTAAATTATATTATAAATTTATGTAATTATAAATATAAATAAAGTTAAAAATTAAGTGTTAATTCTTGTATTTAGTCTAATTTTGAAATTTAATCTTTTTTGCTTTTAAAAAATGGTCTTTTTTTTAAATAATAATAACCTTCTTTTTAAAAATAATAGCTAGTTTTATAATAATTGAAAGATTAAAATTTAAAGGAAGTCGAAAATTTAGATAATCTTATTAACGAAATTAATTTTTATTGCAAAGAAAATAATTTTCTAGTCTAAAGTTTATATGTTAAAAGTGATGGTAATAAATAGAATATATAAATAAGGGAAAATAATTTAAATTTTATGGAAAATTAATGAATAAGAAATTAGTATATTAACTAATAAATATAATAATTATTTTTTATAAATATTTAATTTTGCTATATAAAAAATATATGAACTAAATAATTTATAAATATAAAAAAATTTTTCTTATATATACAATATATAATTTTATATATTATATTTAAAAATAAAATATAAACATGATTAGATATATTAACTTTTAGATTAAAATATATTTAAATTATTAATTTATATTTTATTTTTTTAAAGGAACAAAAATAAATTTAACAAAATCTATTATATAATAGCATCATATTCCCTAAAAAAATAAAAATATAAATTTTTAATAAAGGTTTTTATTATTTTAAAGAAAAAAATATAAAATTTAAATATATATATTTACATAATATATATAAATAATAAATATATTTAATTATATAATTTTATATATATATATATATATTAATTTTTTAAAAAAATATACTTTTCTTCCAAAAAAATACGTAAATTAATTAATGTCAATAAAATAACAAAAAAGATAATATCCTCAAAACACGAAGAATTAGAAAAAGGTACATTTAATAAAAAAAAGCAAAAACTAAATAAAATAAAGGATTCGAAGTGCATTTATAAGGTGCAAATAATTAAAGATTACAAAATAAAAGACAAGAATAATTGAAATAAAATCGTGTATAAAGTTAAGAAAGAAAAAGATGGGAAAGTAAAAAAATAAAAAAAATCTGTTAATAAAATAAATAAATATAATAAAAGTCGAAAAGCCTAATAATCCCGAGGATTCTAAAAAATAATAAAAAAGAATAAAATTCCTCCAAATTAAGACTAAATAATCCAGACATGTATAAAAAGTTTAAAAAAGAAGACATAAACATACTAAAACAGAGTATAAGGGACTTCCGTGAATACCAAAAAGTAAAAGACGATGAATATTATGATCAAGAATTCGAATTTGATACTGTGGAAGATGAAATCGAAGAAAAAATCGAAGATTTAGGAAGTCCTGTGTATGAAAAAAAAGAATTTTTTTAAATATAAAAAGGTAAATAAATAATCATTAAAGCAAGACCGATTTCAGCTGTGGAAAGAATAGGCAATAATTAAAGATATAAAAATAAAAATGAATATGATTTCGAAAAAAGAAGCCTTTAGATTAATGAAATTACTAAAGTATTAAATTCTAATCCATTTGAAGGTTTAGGAAAAAAAAAAGAAGATTAAAGTTAAAAATATCATAATAATATAGAGAATTAAATAAAAAATATTGAAAATTAATAATATAGTGAATAAAATCTTAATGATTAATAAAAGAATATGTAAAAATATGAAAATAATACAGAAAATTAAATAAAAAATATAGAAAAGTATGAAAAAAACATTGAAAATGATTAAAAAAATATTGAAAATTAATAAAAATATATCGAAAATTAATAAAGAAATGATAAAAAAAGAGAAAATTAATAAAAAAAAGATAAAAAAAAAGACATTATAATAAAAAGCAACTAAAAAAATATAGAAAATAATTAAAATTATAAAAAAAATGAAGGCTTAAATTAATTATTTAATAGAATTTAGAAATTAAATGAAAAATAAATAAATGAATTAGAAAATTTAATGGATAAAATCGAATAAGGTAAAATAAATTTCGAGGCTTTACTTAATTTAGAGTTTTTAGTAAAAAATAATGAACTTTAGAATTTAAGTTAATAAATTCAAAAGGAGCTTTCTTCCAATACAAACTAATTAAATATTATGTTATAATAAAATCAACTTGAAGAAGTAGAAAATATTTAATTTAAAAATCTAAAAGATACTTTATAAATGAATAATAAAGAACATTTATTAGAAAAAAATAAACAATTAAATCAAGAATATAATAAATAATTATATAAAGATTAAAATTAATAAATGTAGGAAGTTTAAAATAATTAACTATAAGATGTTTAAAAAGAATAATTATAAGAAGATATAAATGAACATTTTTAAGACAAAAATGAAGAGGATGATATTTAACTGAAAAATAAACCAAAGAATATTATTATTAAAAAAGGATAAAAATAAGTATTAAAGAAGAAAAAAACAACCTTTAAAAGTTTTTAATCCCATGATTCTTTATCTAAAAATAATAATAATTAAATGTCATCAATAGAAAGTGAATCTATGAATTTATATTTACCTTAAATAAAAGAGGAATTTTAAGAGAAAAAATAAGAAAATTCTGAGAAAAAGAAGATCATTTAATAATAATTTGAAAAAAAAGAATTCAAAAAAGAACCTTAAAAAAATATTTGGAATTCTAAAAAAGAAATAATTAAAAAGAAATTTCTTTTGATAAAAAAAACGACGAAAAAAAAACATAAGAAAATATACAAAAACAAGTTTAAAAAATATCATAAAAATAAGAAGAAAAACCATCAAAAATATATGAAAATCCACCAAAAATACATGAAAAAAAAGAAGAAAATCCTTAAAAAAAACAAGAAAATTTGTCAAAAAAAGATGATAAATCATTTAAAATTTAAGAAAAAATTTAAAAAATTTAATAAAAATAGGAAGAAAATCCTCAAAAAATATCTGAAATTTCATAAAAACAAAAACAGTAAATTTAATAAAAACACTAAGAAAATTCTTAAAAAATATCAGAAATTTCATAAAAACAAGACGATAATCTTCAAAAAGTACTACAAAAGTAGCTCACTTCTTAATAGCAAACATCACCTAAAGAAGAAATAAACTCCTAAAACCTCTTTGACTCTTTAAAATTATTCAATATGACCAGTGAAGGACGTTTTAAGTCAATTGAACGTGAAAAAATACTCTAAAATGCCGCTTAGGATTTACAAAAAGACTTATAGGAAAAATTAAAATAAGTAAATGAGTTAATAAACGTCCACGAAAAAAAGCTACTGGGCGGAAATACAAACATAACTAAAATACAAGAATAAGAACTTGAAAAAGAAGACGAATTTATAAATTTATTTTTAAATTAAAAAAAAATAACCGAATCTTTATAAATACCAACCCTTCCTTAAGGCTAAATACTCAAAATAACTATTATTTCGACCTGGGGTGATTAATATTACGTAGGTATGACCGGTATAGAGTTTTTTGATGAAAAAGGGGAATAAATAATCATAAAAGATACAAAAAATTAACTAAAAGCGGCCCCTAGTGGACTAAATATACTCCCTGAATACGAAAAAGATCCACGAATAGTTGATAAAATAGTCGATGGGGTTTATTTGACATGTGATGATATGCATATGTGGCTGGCTCCATTTAAAAGTCCAAATATAATCACTATAGATTTTTTAGAAAGTAAGAAAATATCAATGATTAGGATTTGGAATTATAATAAATCTAGAATTCATGCTTTGAGAGGAGTGAAGAATATTCAAATTTCTATTGATGACAATTTAATTTTCAAAGGAATTATTTAAAAAGCGACTGGAAACCAATAAAATTTCGATTGCTGTGAATATATTATGTTTACGGAAAATTAAGGGATTATTTAAAATATTTAAAATAATGATTGGTTGTTGAAATGTTAGGTTTCGGAAAATTCCCTTCTTAAATAAAATAGTAATAATAATAATAATAACTTAATTTTATAAAATAATAATAAAACCTTTAATGAAAAGGCAAACTAGATAATATCTAAAAATGAAAAGCCTAAAAAAAAGAAAGGAATAAAATGCTCGAAACTGACTTTCTAAATACTAGAAAGTTGGGATAACAGTCCTTTTGTGGGAATAACAGGAATTTAACTATTTGATGATTTTGGTAATATAATATAATTAAAAAAGTCCTTTTTAGAAGGAAAACCATATGATTTGAAACATATTCCAGGTTTTGAAAATGATGAGAGGACTATAGATAAATTAATAAATGGCTAAAATTAAAGTGTGGATGAAAAAAATATGTGGATGATACCATTTTGTGAGGAAAAGGCTTACTTTTCAATTACATTTGAAACTCCGAAAATTATTAGTGCATTCAAAATTTGGAATTATAATAAAATTTAAACAAAAGACTAATATGAATAGAATAGAGGAGTTAAGATTTTGAGTATTTTCGCAGACGAAAATATACTTTTAAATAATTCTAAGGGAATTTTGATAAGGAAAGGTCCGGGAAATGATTGCTTTGATTTTGGATAAGTTTTTCCTTTACCGAATATTAATTCTATTAATACATAAATATTAGAAAGTATTAAATATCCTCAAGAAATTAAAAAGGATATAATATAAGTATATAAATATTATATATGTATTTAATTATTATTTATTTTTATAGGAATACGATACATTACATATACCAAAAGGATTTTGTTTTAAAATATACATATATAGTACTTGGGGTGATTTACATTATTGTGGTTTAAATGGAATTGAGTTTTATGATTAATTTGGAGATCCGATTATTTATAATTAGAATATATCTTTTAAATTAGCGGCTGAACCATCTTCGGTATATATATAAATATGTATATTCATATAAATATAATTTATATATAAAGGTTAATATAATTTAAAATAAAATAAATGATGTAAGAACTATAGATAAATTAGTAAATGGATAAAATAATACATATGATGATAGAAATATGTGGTTAAGTCCTTTTATTGATCCAAAAAAGGAAAATTAAAATGGAATAAATTGCATATATATTTTTTTCGAAAAAATGGTGTTTTTGTCAGCCATTAATTTTTGGAATTACTCTAAAAATCCGAATAGGGGTTTAAAAGAATTGGAAATTTTCCTAGATGATCTTTTAATTTATAGAGTATTATTTTGTAATTATATAAAAAGTTTAATTTTTTATTTTTTAATAAAAAAGGGCTATTTACGAAAAGCACCAACAAATGAATAATTTTAAAAAGGGGGTTATCCTTTTGAAAGTACCATTCTTTTTAATAAAAATCCAAGTATTATATAAAAAATAAAACCGTAAATTTATAATGAAGATAAACTAAAATAAAATGTCCTATATTATAATGAAAAATAAGTAAAAAAATTAAAATATATAAATATATATAAAAAAATAAATATATATATATATTATATTTATTTATATATATATCTTATATATTTAGTTAATGAATCAATAAGATTTTTAATTAAATTAAAATTCAATTAATGGATAGTATTATTAAGATTTAGAAAGACCTTTTACTAGCGTTATAGGAATCAAATAATAATGATAATATTTAATATATAAATATATATATTATAATTAATATTTATATCATATATTTTTATTTTAATTAATTTTTTTTTTTTAAATACAAAAATAAATATATTTATTAATTATTTTTAATGGAAGACAATTAATTTGATGAAAAAAATAAAAAAAAAGCTCCTAAAAAAAAACATAATGAAAGAAAAAAGGTTCTGAAAAAATAAAAGTTTAAGAAACAATTAATGAAAATAAAAAAAAATTAATTAAAAACGAAAAAAATCCAAGTTATTTTTAAATATAAATAATATATATTAAATAAAAAATATATAATTTAAAAGTAATATCTTCTTCATAAAAAAATGAAGATTATAATTAAAATTTATTATAAGAAAAAAATAAAAATAATGATGATTTTTTAAAATTATAATAAGATAATTTTTCAATATCCAGTTAAGAAGAATCAGATGAAGAGTTTCAAATTAAAAGTGAAAAAAAAAAAAATTAATAGAATAAAACAAAAGAAAATTAAGTATTTTTATAAAATACATAATAAGAAAAACTTCATATATAAAATAAACAAAGAAAAATTAAAAAAAAATACAAGAAAAAACAAAAGAATAAAAAAATTAAGAAGAAGAAAAATAATAAGATGAAGAAAAAGAAAATAAAGGAAAAAAAAAAAATTAAAAAAATAAAAATAATGAAGAAGAAATAGCGGCTTAAAGTTAAATAAATATTATTAAATATATATATATATATATATATATATATATATTTATATAAATTATAATATTTTAAGGTTAGATTTTATTAGAATATATGAAAAAAGCAAATCGACCATATTCACTTATAAATATATTCGAAAATTTACATGGAAAAGTTAAAAAAGCCCAACTTTAATAATAATTAAATTTTTTAGTTAATAAAGTAAATATATATAATAATATATTTTTAAAAAATAAATTTAGGAATTAATTACAGTCAAAGAATTTGGAAAGTCATCTATTTATTTAATTAACTAAGAATTATTAGAAAAAGTTGATAAGAAATAATTAGAAAAAATGTAAAATGAATTAAATGAAAATAGAATTATTCATAGAGATTTGAATGAAGAAATCAAATAAATAAATAAAAATATTACAAACTATAATAAATAACTAACAAATGATGAAATCGATTAAGAAATTTTAATGTTTTAAGAAAAAGTACTGACTTTTTTTCATATATATATATAAATTAATTTTTTTTTAGATTAAATAAATTGACTTGAAAATATAATTTTATTAAAGTGAAAAATTTGTTTAAATACCTGAAAAGGAAGTTTAAATTTTCGAAGAATAAATATAGACAATCGAAGTTATTTAAATATAAATAAATCATTTTATGTTTATTTATTTATAAATAAAAATTAAATATATAAAATTAAAAGAAAGAATATAGAAAAAGAAAAGGAATGTGTAAAGAAGCTATTAATATTATTTCAGAGTCAATGGACATGAAAAATAATAATTAATTTAATTAATTGGAATTGAAGAGGAAAACTGAAACTGAAAATAAGTCTAAAAAAGAAAGAAAAAAATTTGTATATAAAATAATATTTAAAATAGATAATTATAAAAAAAAAAATTAAATTTTTAAATTATATGTTTTAATATTTAATAATTTTTCTTATGTAAGATATATTTTATATATAAAAAATTAAATATAAAAATTACTTCAAATAATTTGCGTAATATAATATTTTTTTTGGTAAAATTAAAGAAAAAAATTATAATTATAATTTAATGTTTTTAAAGATTACATATATATAAAAAAAAAAATATATATATATATATATATATATATATATATATATATATTATTATATATATATATATTTTTATAATGCTTTATTATTAGAACTATTTTTTATTTAATTTATAGTACATATTAATTATTTCTTTTTTTTATTGAAATATAATATTTGCTAATGAAAACATTTTCTTATAATTTTAATTTAATTTAAAATTATTAGTTTTTAAAACATTTTAATTTTTATCTTTAAAATATATTTTTTTAAAAAAGTTGATTAATAAAATATATTTCATTTTTAAAAATAATTTACTTTTAAAAATAAATTAAAACTATAATTTTTTTTATTATATTATAACTATATTTTTTTTTTAAATTAATTTTGTTTTTTTTTAAAAAATATAATATTTTTTAAAAAAATGCATTTAATTATTTTTATATATTAATATAATTTTTTTTATAATATATATAAAATATCTATTATTTAAATCATAACCTTTAAAATATTTTTTTTTTAATATAAATATTTAATTATCAATTTTACTATTGTTTTTGTATATTTAAATATTTAATTATGTTTTTTATATATAATTCAGATATTAAATGTACATTTTTTATTTATAATAAAAATAAAAAATAAGAATTTATCAAACATTTTTTTTTTTAATTTAATTTAATTTTTTTTTATATAATTTAAAAATAAATAATATTTTTTCAATATTTATAAAAAATGATCAATTTATATTCTAAAAATAATTTATTTAAAAAAAAATTTCCCGTAAATAATTTAATTCTTTTTTAGTTTTAATATATATAAATATATATATTTTAATCAAATTAATATAGATATTTAACTATTAAATTTTTTAAATAGTGTTATATTATGTTTAAAAATATTAATATACCATATATTATTATTAAAAGAAATTTAATCAGTATTTATAGGTTGTTATTTTTTTCAAATAAAAAAAATATATTTGTATTTTATATGTTAAATTTTATTATACCAAAAAATAATAACCTAAAAGTTTTTGATAAAATAATATTTTTACATATAAAAACTTATAATATGTTTTTTTTTTTTGGTATATATATATATAAGAGTAAGTAATTTTAAATGTATTTCATTTTTATTTAAAAAGAGAAAATTTTTCAAGAAAATATTTTGAAAGGTTTTTAATTTTTATTTACATTCAAAAAAATAACAGCCTCATGATCATCAAAACTTCCCAGTATTTTTTAATAATATACTGTTTATCCTAACTTAAAACGATAATTTTTTACTCGTCTAATTAATCACATATAGATAAATGACTCTCGTCTAAGCAAATAATTAATTCTTCGTTATCGAACATGATGATTTCTTCCTAAATATAGCTTTTTTTATTATTCTAAAGACTAATAATAACCCCTTATCCACTTTATAATTAGATGTTAGAGTATTATTATTAAGGCTAAACTTCCGATTATTAAAAGTAATCTTAAGATAGTGATACTAACTAAGAAGAATTATTAAAATATCGATTATATTCATTCATTTATTCTTTTATTTATTATTATTTTTAATTATATTCGAGTTATATTAAGTCGATACTTTCACTTAAAATTCCAAATACATTTATTTATTCATTTTTTTCATCGTATATGCCATTGTTTTGGTATTTTTTTTAAGTAAGAGATTACTTTTTTATTTGTTTTTTTTTATTTTATACAGTTTTTTTTATTTATTAATTTTATTAGATTTTCATTTTATTTTTATTATAATGTTTTCTTTAGATGATTTAAGAAGTTTTTTTTTTTAAGTTGTTTAGGTTTTTAAATTTTTTTTTTATATTAATCTTTTTTTTTTTTTTTTTTTTTTTTTAATAGATTGATTTTATATTTTTTTATATAATTAATATTATAATAATTTATATTTGTACTAAAATAATATATAACACTTATATTTATATATTTAAAATTATAGTATTTTTTCATAAATCTTAATAAAAAATTTCCCCATCTAGAAATTAATTCAATAAAATTCAATAAATTTAAAATAACTAGTGAGATCAAGTAAAAAAAAGATAAAAAAAAAATTAAATATATTATTAATTTATAAAATTAATTACTACAATTAAGGTGTATTAATATTCAATTATTTAAATTAAATAAAAAACAAAAACAAAAAAATACAAAAAATCTAAAAACTTCACGCATAAATATATAAAATTTAAATTATATATAAATTATGTAACTCAATTTTCAAATGTATAAATAAAATAATTATTCATTTAAAATATAAAATATAAGAAAAACAAAATAACATTCTTTTGATTATTTTTTTTATTTTATTGCTAATTTATCTATTCTTAAAACATATTAAAAAATTATTTTATCCTAATTAATATTTTATATGATTTAAAAATATACATAACATAATTTATTTTAATAAATATATCTCATTTAATTATCTGTAATTATAAATTGATACTAATATTAATATTCATAATCATAATCATTAATAATAATTATTATATTCACCGTTATATATAAATATAATTTAATTTATACATAT